CGAGCCGAGCCGAGCGGCGTTGCATCCCGCGACGTCCGCGCGATTTTTCCACCATGTGTATCGTACCGAGGAGCCGCTGTTTCCACGTCGCCGCCAAGTCCCGAAGGTGGAGGCGTGAGAACCGGGTCTTCGGGATACGCCGACACCTCCGAGTATCCTTTCAACGCTTGACCCCGTGCGCGCACGCAGGTGATCCTGCGAGACGCGAAGGAGTCCAGTCGTGGACGGAAACGTTTCGCCGCGAGTCTTTAAGTCGCGACGAGCGAGCGAGCGAGAGAGAGAGAGAGAGCGAGCATGCCGCTTCCAAGCGGAAAGAAACGCTGCTCTCGCTGTATCACGTCCGAGTGATTTTCATCGTAAACGAGCGAAGACGCGTCGTAAAATCCTGCCGCGTTACCTGCCCGTCGTCTTTCTCACGTCGCGATCGGTCTGTGACGGTATCAAGTTACAAAGTAGACGCACGCGTGCGCCAACCGCGAGCGAAGGTACGCAATAATGCCGCGCGTATAATGCTAATGCGCGACAGGTCGCCCCTCGTAAAACTCCCTGCGCGTAACGCGCGATTGAGCCCGCTCCGGGAGGATACAATTATGTGATCTCTTAAATGGAAACCCGGCGTGTGGTAACCCGGCCTCTCTCTCTCTCTCTCTCTCTCTCTCTCTCTCTTTCTCGAGTTTCTCGATATATCCTATTACGCCGAACTATGTCGGTCGCGCGAGGCGAGAGTCACGCAGGTTTTTTCCAAGCAGAAAATCTCATCGAGAGGTGGATCGGCCGCGCGCGGACTCGGCTCGATGAATTTCTACCTTTTCACCGGGCTTCTCGACGCGAGAGCCGCCGCGCCGCCGACGGGACGACGACGACGACGACGACGGCTCTCGTCGTCTTCCGTATCGCCGCGCGCGATCGCTTCCTCGCCGTGTAAGAATCTTTTTTTCTCCCGCTCTTTTTCAGATGTAACGATAATGACAGCAATTTTCCGATAAGTCGTCTGTATCGGGAGGAAGCTCTCGGATATTAATGACGAGCCTTCACGACGTCAAAGGATGACGGCCGATCTTGGGACTTTCTATTTGCATTTTCATCGTCGGCATAAGAATTCATCATACTCGGAGGCCTCCGCCGCGGCCGGGCCGATGTAGTCGTCCGGTGTAGCCATTGATAACCCGCTCGTCTCTCGTTTAAAGTCTCAATGGACACCTCCAGCGAGAGATAGACGGCGGCGCGCACGGAGATTTGTCTTTATTTGGACTTCCATTAGGCCGAGACGTTGTTTGATCGTTCCCGTTACACGTTTTACGAGAATGGCCCGAGAAGTACTTTCTAAGGCACTCGACGGGGTCCGGTCGGTCTCCGGCGAGAAGGTCGACGATACATCAAAGGATCGCAACGAGCGCGCACGCGGCGCGGCGTCTCACGCGAAGAATGAATTTGCTCATCGGATATGAAAGTTTGTTTTCTTAACAACCCCCCACAGGCTCGGCTCCGCGCGACGCGACGCGACGCGACGCGACTCGACGCGACGCGACGCAACGGACTCAGAAAGAAGGCTGGAGTAAAAAGCTTTTCGGAGAAAGACCGGCGGAGATTTATCGGCGAGATTTCGCGCTTCGGCAAATTGTCGGACGAGTCGCCTAGCAGGGAAATTAATGACGCGTCCGTAGCAGAAAGAGCCGAGCAATAATGCGACGCGCAACTCGTGTGTCCCGATGTGCATATGTAATATATATGTGAGCTCTTATAAAGCTAGGAAATATGTGGAATCTATACTGTATACACAATGTCAAAAATTCTTCGCACGAGGGAGAAGCGCGACTTGCGAGATACGAGACACGAGGCAGGATCCAGGCGTTATCATCGGCGCGAAAATCGAGACATGCTCTCGGTTCTCGTCCCGACCGAGCGCCAAGTTCCAAGGCGCGCGCGTATTTATTTAAATTACGATTACGATATTCGCGTTTTCACGAACGTGTTAATCCCGCGGGAAATTAGTGCGCCCGTAAAAGCGATCGATGGCCGCTCTCGGGGAGAGAATAGCCGCGTTAACGCAGGCCGCTCGCGCTCTTTTATTTCCGACTACGTCGTCCGTCCTGTTCTTGCCGAGTGACTCTGCGCTGATTACTATAATTACGATTATAATGGACGAGATCGGAGAATCCAGGTCGCTCGTGACTACGCGCGCTGCGAAGAATCCGAGAGGGAGAGAGACATTCCACTTTCCATCGGCGCGGTAGCGCCTGTATCGCGAGCGGCCGGCACGGGGAAAAGCCGCGGTGCGGACAGGGAAATTAACGCGAGAGCGCTAATTAATGCTCCGGGTCCCACGCGATTCGATTGGCGGCCGCGGTTCAGGTTCAGGGATGCGCGCGCGCGCGCGCGTAGCGAGACGAGTACAATCGGCGGGGGACATTAATGAGTACCCGCCGTCGTCGCTGCCGTAACACGAACGCACGATCCGACGTCGACGAGTGTCGCGACGAGTGAGTCATGCGGCAGGAAGTCCTTTTTCCGCGATGCACGGTCGAACACCTTCCGCTCCGCGAACTGGTACAAGGTGAAACCGAGCTGCGAGTGCGCTTCGGCTTCCGAAGGAGAGGAAGGATCGCTCGAAGGTTTCTTCTTTTCCGTCCCTTCAGAGATCGCGCCCACCCCCGCGGATTTTGTCTGCTCCCCCCCGCAGCGACTCGCCTTTGTCTCGCCCCTTCCGATGGCGAGCGGAGGAGCGAACGGCACGCCTTTGACTCGCCAGATAACAGCGGATAGTACAAACTATTTGCCGAGTACGCGATGAGAAAATTGCCCCCATTGTGGGACCGGTGGGAATAAGATCGGTCGATAGCGGTGCGGATAAAAGTGCGCCAGACAGTCGCGCGTTTCACAGAACGAATGGCACGGTAGACAACGGATAGAACACGGCAAAGATTGAATCTCATTAGATCTTATTCTTTCCCTCGCGATCCGCGCGCGCGCGCGCGCGCGCGAGTCTCTTTTTCCTCGATATTATACTCGCGGGCTATCATCAGCAGCGACGCGATCGCCTCGTGAGAGAGGTCGCGAGATTTCGCGGCGGTATTATTCAATGTCGTCTATTACCGCGCAGCGCGCGACTACCCAATTATCCTCGGATTAAAAAAATAATGCGCGATAGTTGCGGTACACGGCCGTGTCCCGTACGCTCGTTACGCATCACAAAGTATCTTATCTGCATGATCGGCCGTTTATCGACGTGAGGAAATTAACTTTGGCTCCCATTAACCATGCGGGACTTTCCAATAAAACCGGCATTCTGTGCTCGTCGCTATCGCAAAATGAACTCCCCGAGCGCGAAACGGTATTAGCCCGCGGACTAAACGCCCGAGAGACGATCAATCTGCTCGCGCTAACTCGAGTCCATCGACGCGAGGAGACTTTTCTCGCCCACAGAAGAAACAATGTGTGTATTATTACAGCTACTGCAATATCCGTCGTTTTCTCGAAGAACCGAATCATCTCGGGAATATATCCCCCCTCGCGGCTCCGTGCGGTTCGTGGTCGGCGCGAACGTCAGAGTTCATCCCGCGTTCGGAGTTCATTCACGTCTCTTGCTCACGTCGAATATGCCGGTACATTTGGCCGGTCTCGACGTCCGGCAATTAGGGTCAGACTTGAATTCGCGTATACGGGCTGAATCGATGAGCAATCTTGCGCCTTTGGCTTGGCTCCAGAAAACTGAGACAGCGCACAGCCACGACAGAGACAGCCATTCCCCAATGTTTCTTATTACCCGACACCTCGTCTCCTCGCGGACGAGGCAGAGAGCCACGTGGATCTCCGCGAGTAAGGGCGTTTCATCCCTTCGCACCCTGGCTAAATCAATTAGACGCACGACGTAGGAGGCGTTGATACAATATAGGAATACGTGAGAGGACGCTGCCTTCTGGCATTTAGGAGATGAGGAGACGAGGCGGGACTCCCGCAGGATCTCTCAACCGGGAATCTAAACTGAAAGTGAGTCCCCCTAAATCCCAAGTCTCTGAACGTTCAGATTCTGTGGAAGCGCGTCTCACACACGCACGATTTGTTTTCGGGAATTCAAGCGTGGTAGGAGCGATATCGATATATAACACAATAGTGTGTGACAATAATAAAACGTAATGTAACTTGGGCACTTGGCGCAAAAATTGATTGGTTGCTTCGAGAGTGCATATCGATACGGACGAAGGTCAGAGAACGTAATTCGGCGTCCGGCGTGAACTTTCGCGCTGGAAGGGAAGCGAATGAGAATTTTTGCAGCGGGACGAGAGAACCACTGATCCTAGGAGAGAGAATATCCTGCGCGAGCCGGGTTTCCTGCAACGCACGGTCAATAAAGCAGCTGTATACGCGTCACGGACGCGCGTGTGGAGGCATCGCCGAGAGTCTCTCACGTCGTCTGTAACTTTCGTGAACTTGTATAATAGTGCGATGAACTCGCCGCTTTATCTCTCTCTCTCTCTCTCTCTCTCTCTCTCTCTCTCTCTCCATGGTACGGCGATAAGAATAATTGGACGCGAGGCGGAGAGGCACGGGAGAGGCGGAGGGCTGCGTTGCGTAAAATTGCAGGTCATTCGCGCAGTCCTCCGCTATCGAGCGTATCTACAGTTTTGGCTTACGTAACGCGCAATAAAATCGCGTCCGGGCGTCTTCCCGCGTAATTTTACACAAACGGGGCGCAAATCGCCGGCGGCGGGCTTCTTGAAATTGTAATACTTTTCATCGGCGAGAGAGCGATCAGCTCGATTATTCATTCTCTTATTTCCTTCGGCTCGTTGCGCAAGCCGCGCAACGGCCTATCCGGACTAAGAGATTAATGCGAAGTATATTGATCGATATTTAATGCTTTAATAATTACACACGCGATTTCGCGCGGTTATTCACTTTGTCGACTTAATTTATCCCCGTCCTGTGATTAACATCCAACAGTCTTGTTTTCGCTCAGAAATTACTCAGCGTGTCTCACCGTCTTTTTCTCGCTGTTGCAGATTTCGTGATGCCACCGCCGTGTCGTCGGCTTCGTTAGCGACGGGCCTTCGCAATGGCCTCGATCTTAGGAGACGGAACAGGCCCCGGTGGCCCGGGGCCTTCCAGATGCCTCTTGCTGCTGCAGAGGTCTTTGGCGATTCAGCTGACCAGGGGCCCGCCGTCTCACGTCACGAGTCCCGGTCAACGAGACGCTCCGAAGGAACATCCAGCCGACGAGATGTGGATGTACGATAAGGGTTACAATCTGTTTCAGGTGAGTGGACACGTCGTCGTGTCGTGTCGTCTACTAGGAGTCTAGGTCTACGTATCATTCAACTTTCCTCGTCGTTGTCGAATCACGCGAGTTGGAACTTGCACTTTGTTTTCTTGTTCGGCGACAAATAAAACCACGCGCGCGACGTTTTATTTGTGACGTTTCCGCGAGCGACGTCGCGTGCTTCTTTCGCTCACGGGGAAGATCGCCGGCGCCGGAGAAGTTTCGCGGAAGCGAAACGTCGGCGAAAGAACGGCGCGTCGCGACGTTCGTCGACTTCGCTCGTCGTCGTCGTCGTCGTCGTCGTACGCTTTGTCCGCCGACGTGCCGGTCCTTTACGGTAAAACGGACGTTGATTGCCCGCACCGTTAGGCCACAATGAGACAATGTGAATTACGAGCAATTTCGCGAAAGTAAGCATAATCGGGGAACGGCAGGTTAAACGGCGGAAGCTCGTTCTCGCGCCGGCGTCATCCGGCCCTTCGACAGTAAATTTCCCGTTTTACGTCCAGAATTCCTTCCACGGATGGAGCGAACGAGAGACGGCGGCGGCGGCGGCGGCGCCGCGCGCGCCTCGTAATCCACCGTGTCCCCGGACTTATCGTCTCCTCAATGTACGTGTAACGTGTAACCGCTGAATATTCAACAGCGGCGCGCCGTCTCGCCTGGAAAATTGTATTAATCCGTCCGTCGCGCCGACACGGCCGCGCTCACGAGAGCGAATTTCAGCTTGCGACGCGACGCGGCTGCTGCTGAGAGTCGCACGCGCGTAACGCGCGCGATGAAAACGAAATTGATGCGAAAGAAGAGAAAAGCAGGAAAAAACGGGGCAGGTAAACGAGGAATAAAAAGTGAAGGAGCGGAGAAATAGCTGGCGGGATTCGGCCGGTGAAGAAATAAAGTCGCTACGTGACTGTTCGCAATAACCGAGTGCTCTCACTTTTCAACGAGTACGCACTCGACGGAGAAGCACCCTTGCGGAAAAGTCAACGAGCGAGCCTCTCGTTTTCAGAGCTAATAAGGAACGTCGATGCCGATGACAAAGGGGGCGTTGCTGAATCGTTGAATATGCAACAATAGCCGAGCCCTTGAGTCGCGTGACCCACTCATTGAGTAGCCGAAAATTTCATCGCGCGGCAGCAGCGTAGCGCGATGAACGCGTTTTTAATCTCACTCGCAGTGCGGCAAATTGCGAGAGAGAATCGAAGGAGAAAGTGTAAAAGACATTGGAAGAAAACGGAAATTCGGTATTTTCGCTTCGAGGCTCGAGACCCACCCCCGCTGGGATACGAGCGAAAGAGGAACACCCTGTATATAGAAGTAGGAAATCGCGTTGAACGCTCGTACGAGCGTTCGTAAGAGATACGATCTCGAGGTCGTAGAGTGAATTAGATCGACGTCCTATAATTGTTAAGTCAATTAGACGTTACTGCGGAACCCGTTGGTGTGTTCTGTCGGTATTGTGGTTCCGCGTGGTTTCGCGCCATATACTGACCGCTTCATCGGTGTCTGCGGATAATAATCGATCGACGCAGATACGATCGCTTTTCAAAGGAGCGCTCGTCATAAAGGCATCGCCGCGCGCGCTTCAGATCGCATCGATAGCATGATACACCGCGCATGCGCGCGATTTAGAACGTCGCGTCCGTATTCGCTTTGTATTCGGCCGGCTAATTTTATCTAAGGAGCACACGTCAAGAGAGGCGGACTCTCCGCATCTGTTGTTGTCGAGTGCACTTTAATGTACGAACACCGACACGGTGTATTAGCACGGATTCCCCCCCTCGCCGGCGATGATACGACCATTACGAGTTAATGAGCTGGAAACATGGTAAAAACGAAGCGAGGAACACGAGCCGAGAAGAAGCGTGCAGCGAGATATATTTCGCGAGAGATGGAACAATAAATTTCCCACTCGCGCACATTTCTTCTGTCTGCGCCGGTTCTTCCGGTACGCCTCAGTCGGTGCGAGAAAACTACGCTCGTTCGCGAGTCGAAATGATTCTCCCGCCGCGCTTATCGAAGGCGCCCGGCTCGTCTTGTTGCGTCGTCGGTAGAAAAGCAAAAGAACGACGAAGGGACGACAATGCGGATCCATTACCGCGAGGATCTCGCGTCACTAAATAACAGGGCATTGTTCGATACGGCCGTCGATCCGCCAAGTTGTTTACATGATTCATCGGCGGGTCTTTCAGGTGCAGGCTGCATTCGAGAGACAGAGAGAGACAGAGAGAGAGAGAGAGAGAGAGAGAGGGAGAGAGAGAGAGAGGGAGAAGGAGAGAAGGCGCTTTACGCTTCCTCGACGACTCTCGCGGGCGGCACTACGAGCCGTCGCCGCCACCGCCGCGCGCTCGTTGTGACGTTTTTAAATCACTGTTATTACGATACACCGATCGCGTCTTGCCTCGGGGATGGTCGACGCAGCGATCTGGCGGACACTTTCCATCCGCGTGGCGATTTCCGTCACGAGCGCGCCGCGCCGGACCGCAAAAAGCACGGCGATGGTTCGCCGTCGCGCCGCTGCCGCTCGGCGGCGGCTGTAACCGCAGTCTGTGTACCAGTTTGTTACATTCGCTCTTTTACATCACGTCCGCGCGGCTCGACGTCCCATCGCAAAAATATCCGCGATTGATTAGCGCGTGGGCATATTAACTCCTCTCGCGTGATACCGTAAGGGTATACAGCTCTCTCACCGCGCGCAACGAAATCCGACTACTCGAGTCGCGCGATCAGTCGTTTTGTTTTATTTTATTCTTCTTTTGCTTTCCGGGGTGTAACTTTCGATTCGACTTGCGCGACAAGATCAAGGTCCGTCGTTGCGTCTGAATTTTTCCATTTCCTCGCTTTCCTTTCCTTTCGTTTGATGATTGCGTTGCGCTTTCCTCCCGCCGGACGAGCGAGAAAAATTGTCGCGCTACGACAGACGCGACGCGTCTGTCATAATCTAGAAGGGAGATCGGAAAGCGCGAGGAAAGAATTTCGCTCGCGTTACGATCTATCGCGAATATCGCCGGAGCGTAATGGCGGAGCCCGAGCAACGGCATCCCGAACGTAACTAGTGCACGGCACTTACGAACAGAGAACAATAAAGTCAAGTACGTATCGTTCGAGCGGCTCGGCCGGCGAGGGTTCGGCCAAGGTTCAGCCACCTCTCTCGGCTTCTCCGTTCATCGACGTTTTCCACGACGACGGCGCGCGGAGAGAGCTGGATCTCCCCCGGTCCCCGTCGTCCTTATCCTCGTCCTCGCCCTCGTCATCGTCTTCGTCCGCGTCTTCGTATAGTCGTCATTCTCGTCTCTGTCAACTTCGTAAATCAGCGCGGCGCAGCGTATATCGCGAGCCGGCTCGACTTTTATCTCCCGCCCGAGAGAGAACTCGTTTATCCGCGGGACGCCCGTCCGTCCGTCCGCCTCGAAGCGGCTCCTCCGAGCGCGCGCGCGCGCGCGCGCGCGATCGTCTATTTGTTTGCCGATTTAATTGCGAAAAAAGCCGCGCGAGAAGGGGTGCCTTTTCTGTGTCTACTTGCTCTCCGCAGCCCCTGCAACTCGGTCCGCGGCTTTCAGGTTAACGATGACGTAGAACGCCGTTGTCGGAGATTATCCTTCGTCTCACGCTACGGATACCGGCTTATCATAGGCGCCGGTTGAGAATACCGTATCGATGCCGATTGTATCGGAGTCGCGAATGCTGTCAATTCCGTCCCAATTTTAGTCTCCTCCTCGTTCCTTTCGCGAACGGTGCATTTTTACGCGAGACGCAAGCAGTGAAAGATACGACGAGAGATAAAAGTCGATTCTCTGCGGCAGCAATATCGATGTCAAAGTAATTGTTGTGATAGGTAGTAGTCTTAATTACGATTATCATTTGTAGCAGAAATATTTCTCCCGACGATGTAATGTATTTCTTCTCTCACGACGTGACACGGTTTCCTGTTTACGAGGTCCCTGTTCGCCACGTCTTCGAGACTTCTGCCGGGAGGAGACGCTTCCCGGAGGTCGCCAATTCGACGCGGTTTCTTTTTGCCGGCGGCTGTTCCGATATCGATTCGTAAGCGAGTCTACACAACGGTCGACGCCTATGCCCGGCTATATAACTACACCCAGTTAGAGATCCCTCCTGCGTCTCTCCTGCGCGCAGAGCGTATTCGCGCGAGAGCGCATGCTGTACCCGCGATATTAGCATATAAATTATGTTATCGTGATTTATGCTCGCAGCCCGCGTGCCTACTCGGGGTTGATGATTAAAATTCGAGACGACCGGCGAGCGTCTTGACGCCTGTCGCAGCCCGGTAATAGCTGATAAATAGATCAATTTCGCAATGGCGGGGCGGGGGGGGGGGCGGCGGCCCTCGGCGACCGAACACGTTTCGCGCGACTTTTTCGCGCGACCGCGAGAGACGAAGACGAGACGAGGGGTGCTTGCGCGGCGCGCGAATTTGCGACGAAGCGGCTCGTATTAATCCATTAGCGGCCGCTCGTGGAAACTTAAGCGAGCCTTGTAGAATTCAGCCGGGCAATTCCAATCGCGTCGACAGATGCCGTATAACGCGCGCGGGTTAAACGTATCCGCGACGTTATAATGGGATAGACCTCTGATAGGTCGGCGAAACGGAGGCCCGCCGCCGTCGCCGCCGCCGCGGCGCAATAATATCGCGGCGAATGGCGCAATAACTTTCTGCCATACGTATTTCGTTCGACTCCGTTAACCGCTCACGTTCCGCGCTCGGCAGCGTCTCGGTTAGGGCTTTAAAAGGATAAGCGTACGTGAGCGAGCAAGCGCGCGCGCGAGAGCACGCAGCGCGAGTATATTGCATAATAATTAACGGGCAGCCAACGACCGTACAACACCCTATAGGCCGTATTGCCGCAAGTTCATTGCCGGCACGGAAATCGCAATATGTGCGTTACGTGCGCCGAGCACCGCGCACCGATTAGCGATAGGTCTCCGCCGCGTTCTCCTCTCCTCCCGGCTGTTACTTTCTACACCTAGCCGCGCGATTTATTCTCTCACCGCGCGCTCCTCCGCTTCGCCGAAAGTGCCACGAAGTGCTGCGCACACGCGCTCGTCCGAACTTGATCGTTAAAAGTTAAAAGCTAGCGAGAGAGCGCGGCTCTCTCGCGACGATACGCGGATCCGACGAGGAAAAAGCTGGGCTCGGTTCTCTCTCGTCCTCTCGTACGCTCGTCGCAAATTGATGGCCCGAAAAACCGCATCTCGCGCAATCTCTCTCTCTCTCTCTCTCTCTTCTCCTTGTTTTCCGACCCCGCGCAATCTGCCGTCGTGATCCTACACGCTTCCCAAATATTCACCCTCGACGAGAATATCCCGGCCGTTCTCCACGTCTCGCTATTCCCCCGAGTAATCGATATCTGTAGCTTATAATCTTCTCGAGCAGTTAGGGAGCACACAAGGTTGAGGAGAAATACGAGATAATCGCGGGGATATCTCGTCGTTTCCTCGGTGTCGTCGAATTTATTCAATACGCACGAGGCCGTTATTATTACGAGGAGACCTCGCGATCGCTGAAGTTTCATTAGGAGACTTCGTACAGTTTCTCGTCTCTTTTTGTCCTGTACATGTACGGGGATTATTCCTTCATAACGTGCAACTCTCGCGCAGCGTTAACATCGCGCGACGTTGGCAGTTTGTGGATTACGTGAGATTACGCGAATTTACGGAGCACCGTCCCCGGGCGGAGATAACGTTATCGTCCGGTGAAACGCGATGTTACGAGTCGCGATACGGCAATGCCGGCAATGCCAATTTGCGTTCAGCATCAAAAGCATTGCTTTTTTCGCACAGTTAGCGTGCGCTGGCGTGCCGCTGGGCTGGATACAGGAGACATGGTGGCTGATTCAGCACTAATTATGGTTAACTCTGTCGGAGAGTACTGTCGTACTCTCACGGTTAGAGTCCTCCCATGGACAATGTAAGAGCGTCTACTTTATCAGCGTATCCTGTCTGTCGTGCACCCCACACGCACTCCACGGTGCTGCGAGATATTTTCAACAGCCGCGCGGCTGTTTTGCTCGTTTTCGCGAGAACGTGTTCACACGCGACGTTGCGCTGATTAATAAGAAAAAACGCGAGCACGTTTGGGCGTAACGCGTGTGAATTTCTTCCCTTCTCGATGCGCGCGCGATAAAAGACGGGCGCGACATTTGGGAAGGGCCGCGAGCGTGAGGCGCAATCGCTCGTGATAAATCCCATCGTTGCGGCTTTCGCGACGGCATTATAATAACGCGACTCGACATTTAAAGGACGTTTCCGTATAGCTTGGCCTGTGTGTTACGAAAGCGGCGATTAAGAGACGGACGAAATTTTCTTAAAATTGCGAAAGTGCCGCTTTTCTCCGTTTATCGTGCTCAACCGGGCGGAAAAAACGAAGCGTCAAGTAATTCGATTGTAGAAGGTGTCTCGAGATCGCGGGAGAAAGAGACCGCGGGGAAGGTAAGTACGATCTCGTGAAATCGATCGTGTCCGCTCGGTTGATTCGACACCGTGCTCCCACGTGCTGCCGCGCGCGCGCGCGCGGCCTCTCGAGGAAGCGGCCTCTTGACGTAATCGAAAAGTTTCACCTGCTGAAAATCGCAGTCTGTCTGGGCGATTTAATAAACCGGCCCGCGGCTTGCCCGCGCCCGCGCTGCACACTCATTATAATCCCTTCCTCGAGCTGGGAGCGTCGAAAAGCTGCGTTCCGCGTGTCGCAACCGCCGCCGCCGCCGCCGCCGCCGCTTGCGAAAGCCGGCTTGTCGTTCGCGCCGTTGTAATAAGCCGAAATGAAAGAAATTCCATTGTAATCGAAGGCGCATTCGTGACGTTAAGTAATATCATCGCGCGGCGGCAGCGGCGGCGGCGGCGGCATCGCCCGCCCCTTCCCCTCCCCCCGCCCCGGTACGAAAGAGTGCGATTGAATCTGAAAATCGCGGATTGCGCCGATTGCGCAACGAGCGCAACAACCAGCGCGACAAGCAACATCACGTAAAAGATGACGGCGGCGTTGGCGCGCGATCGCGCGAACCTTAGGTGTCCGCGCGGGTATTCTAACTGCGACAGCAGGCGGAACGCGCGTCGGCGAGGGTGGACGACGTTCGCGTGCGCGCGCGCGCGCGCGCTGCACCGTTGCGCACAGCTACAAAACGAGCCGCTGGCCGACCGTTCTCGCCGGCCGCGCCGCGTCGGCCTCTCGCGAATCAGATCGATCGCGGACGTGTAATTTGCAGCGGCACGGAGGTTCCGTCATTTGGTAGTAACTCCGCTGCCGTCGCCGTTCGCGATCCGCTACACGGACTTCCAGATGGTGAAAGTCCGGGATCCTACGCTCTTACCCTGCGCTAGATGCAAAATCATCATCTTATGCGCGCGCGCATTGTGTTCTTTTACGTGGGATTAAATTAAAGTCCGTGCCTCGACGTTTCTGCCCCGCCGTCTCTTTCTCCCTCTCTCTCTCTCTCTCTCTCTCTCTCTTTCTCTCTGTCTCTGCCGTTGTTTCCTCGTTTGGACGAAAACGCGGTCGCCGGCTCGCGCGCGCGAATCGACGCCACTGCGGCGGCGGCGGCGGCGGCGATTCTAACGATCGCGTCGTGCATTATCCTACGATGCATACGTTGTTCCACCCACACCGTTGCGGATCGGCGAGATTTCGTTTCAAGGGACCGGTCGATTTCGCGATATTATTTTTTCTTTCTCTCGTGCCGATGAGATGCACCTTCTTCTGCATCGAAGGCGCTTCACCGGCCAAACTACAAAGCGCCCGACGGATGCGATAAATTAACATTCTCACGAAGGATCCTCCCGGATCTCCCCGTGTGTACAGCCGCTCGTTCGTACTGGCGAGAAGCACCGTAACACTTTTCGTCTATCCGGGGAATGATCGCGCGGGAACTGCGATAAATCAGCGCGGCTGGCGGCGCGATCGATTCCGGCACTCCGCACTAATTTCATGATTTAACCGGACGCGGAGAGGGCGGGACGCGGGGTCAGAGAAAAATCCCGCGGGGCGGTTCGTTTATAAGCATTGTCCGGGGCTCTCGACCCTATCACGGCTCATTCTGCGAAGCGAAAGTACGACGGGGATTCTACGAAGCGGCCGCAGGGCGGCAGGGGCTGTTTCGCCCCGAGTTACGACGAGGGTGAAACGCCATACGGCCCTCACGGAGATAAACACTTAGCGACCGCGCTATATTTTAGGGGATAACTCGCGGCCGTCTGCCTGCGCGACGTGTTACGGCTTTCTTTATTGCTGATACGTAATGCATGTGTGAGAGGAGTGTGCGAATGATAGTTATTACGCAGTTACACGATTTCGCGGGCGTAATATTTTTCTGTCGCAAAGCCACTTGCTGCGCCTGCTGTGCGCGCGAGAAAGTGAAGCGCACGGAACGTTTCGGTCGAAGGACAATCACCGGCGGTGGACGTTTTGCAAACGGAGTAATCGGAAATTCGTTTCATTATTTGAGCCTTCGGTATGCCAACCAAGACTCCATTTTCATCTTTCACTATTTTTGTGTGAACTATTCGTGAGGATTAACGATTCAACGATTCAACGTCGTTCTCAAAGTCTCTGCTAAAGAAAAGTAACAAGAAAGTCTCCGCTTCCTTCTTTCGATCGAGTAAAAAACTCTCGAGTAAAACAGAAACTTATGGAACAAAATATTCTCTCTAGCAACTAGCAACCGGGATACCGCGAAGGTTAATTATGAGGGGATCAAGCGCAGCGAATTATCTCGGAAAATTTTCCGAGATAATTGCCCGCGTGATTGCTCGAATAAATTTTACCGTGTTGCGAAAACGCGCAGGTGGTAATCATTGTCTTTTTTTGTCTCTGTTGTAGAGCTTCTTGGAAGCGAATTCCAAGTGCTGGTGGAACGCGGCTCTGGTGGACGCGACTCGGCAGCTCAGGTACAAGGGCCACGTGTCACCGGGCGTGTTGATGGTTAGCGGACCGCCCTGCGCCCTCGAGGTCTTGAGGGCGGCATGGGCGCGAAACGTTTTACGACCACCCGCGGACCACTCGATCACCTGTCTCGGTATGTACCGTCGAATTAACCCTTTCGCTGCCGGAGGGTCGATTTAAGTCGGCGCGATTGCACGCGCATGCACCGCACGGCGTGCGCGCCACCGGCCAGAATTCAGGTCGTTTTGCTCAAACGGATTCCGAGTCGCGCGCGTAAGATAATCGAAGAGTTTAATTAAAGATAAAGCGATCGTGAAAGTGAAAGTGAAAGCGCCGATATTTTACGCGAGCGGGTTCTTACGGGAGAGAGAGGAGAGATAATGCTGCGTGACCCTGGTTCCGCGCCGCGCATTCGAATTCTGATACCAATGGGGGACATTTTACGTGCGAAGATAACATACGAGCTCAATTTCGATATCGTCTCTCTCTCCGCCTCCTTTTTTTCTCTCTCGCTGTCCCTCTCTCTCTCTCTCTCTCTCTCCGCTTATCGCTGCGGCGCTCCGTTGAGACGCTCGTTTTTGCTTATCGTCGAGGCGCGTGCGAACGCACTGCTGAAGGCAACCTGTTTCGGTGCCGAGACAAACCCGAGAGGATACTCTGCGATATTTAATTGCACTGGCTCTATTATTCATTGCCCGGAGGGAAACTGCGAAAGTTATCAGCGCGCGTCGATATCAATCTGCGCGGTTGCGGTACCTTATTCCGCGAGATGCACGAGACGAAAGGAATTTTTGCTTCTCGCTCTCGGTCTCGGTCGAAAAGTCGGAAAAGCGCGAATTATCGCGTCAAGTCTCAGAGATCGACTCCATGAGCCACCACACAAACCGGCTTTCAGAAGCCGACGGTTTGCAGACAAAACGACTGGATAACGGAAAGTGTCCGGCCCGCGCGCGTTATTCTCCTTATCCGCTCATCTCTCGTAACTCACGCCTGTCGTCGGTGTGTGCGAACCGCGCGGAAATAGCTCCGCGCTCGTCTCACGCTGCTTATCGCACTCGCGCGGCTCGTGCATTCGCACGCACCCTCGCGCACACCCCCGTTCCCTTATGCTGGGCGTGTTCCGTTTCACCCCCCGTCTCTCTCTCTCTCTCTCTCTCTCTCTCTCTCTCTCTCTCTCTCTCTCTCTCTCTCTCTGTTATACTTGTCTCTTCTTGTACTTGCCTTTTCGATGTTCGCTCGCTCGGTCGGTGTCCCCGCCGTCTGTTTCCACCTCCGCCGTTTCTTTCCGATCTTATTGCTCCCTTTATGCTCCTCGCGCTCGTATCTATATACGCCTACGCCCGACTATCTCGCATACCGGGCTTATGCTAATGCACCGCGCGCGGATACGCAACGGCGTAGGAGCCCGACTCGTTATTACGGCCGGCTGTAACGGCGAAAACGCGCTCTCGCGAAAAACGAAAGAAATTTATTCGCGCGATAAAGAAACCGCGCGCGCGCGCGCGCGACTCCAGTCGCGCATGGGAAAGCGGCCGGCGTGAATGGCGAAAAATTATGTCGCGGATAAAAGACGCTGTTTCACGGGACTCGTCACTTTTCGCGTACTACGGAGATGGAGAGAAAGAGGGAGGAGAAAGGGAACTCACGCACGCGCACGCATACAGCTGTACGCGTGGAAGATGCATCGATGGTACATGCATCATGAAAGAATACAAGTACGTAGATGCGTGCAGTCCGAGATGAGATCGACGACGCGCGAACGGGACGTTGATTCGTGGCGTTTCATAATTGGATGACGATGGCCGCTGATTAACCGCGTGCGGGGGCACGTTTAATTGCGGTAAATCGCGCGGCGCGGATTATAAGGTGTTTTTATTAAACGGCCGGTCCGGCCGCTACCGCGACAACGGCAACGATAACGACGACGACGACGACGACGACGACGACGACCATGGCGATGCAAAGTTGGCGAGAGCTTTCCGGTTCGCGCGAATGCCTCCGTGTAAAACGAGCTTGGTTAACATTCCGCTATTCGCCGATCGCTCTGCTCGCCCGGCTCGGCGCGCAGCGGCGCGCATAATACGCGCGTCTTATATGCGGTCTCTATGCGCGTGCAGTAATGCGGGTTTCGCGCTGCCAACATAATTGGTCTGTCGTCGTCTACCTCGCCGGAGATGGCCGGGCTGCTTATCCGACCTCTTTATTTCTCACGTCGTTCCCCCCGACGCGACGCGACGACAACGCGCGCGCGAGGCGGCTACGCGAATATCTCGCGGCGTGTTGCATGATTTTCCAGTTACCGGCGTGTCGCTGACTTTCCTGAAACGCGCGCCGTTGACGTCGACGTGGCGCAACGTGACTGCGCTCAATGCGTGCGGCGGGATGCGTATTGCGCGACGACTCATTAACAAGAAAATCACGCACGCCCCGTCGTCTTTTTAATTTGCACGGTGGCTCGTGGAGATTTTATGTGTGTGTGTGTGTGTGTGTGCGTGTGCGTGCGCGTGTATCGAAGTCGCAGGCTCGGGATAAGTTGCGCGCACACGCAGCTCGGCTGGGTAACACGAGACCTCACGTTTTCAAGCGTTTATTCGAGGCTGCAGTTTGCAGCGGGCTCGCTTGCTCCATTTATGGTTTTTATTACGGGCGAGACGGATGAGGGAGCACGACTTGAAATTGCGCGACCGTTTCGGAGCCGCGGAGCTTTCCTCGTAACATGGAGCCTCCGGGAGGGAGGGATCCGAGGCAGTCTTGTTCGAAAAAATGACCGGCGCAACGCGCTCCACATAGGAACGAGCCGATTGGTACGCAAGTCGCATGCCGGAATCCTGCATCCTCGAGTCGATGGGCGCAGCGAAAGGGACGTCGACGGCGCGCGTCTGGAATGTCGACGTTCCCTCTCGCCTCCGTCCCTAACTGAAATCCATACGGTGCACTCTCTCGCGGGCTAATAAATCGGCCTACAGAGTGTGTACGACAGTAGCGGCATTCCAGGTCGATCGATTAAGTCGGCTACCCCGGAGACGGAGACGCGTGCCCGGTAGCGCCGTGTTCCCTCCCCCCCTCCCCCCCCTGACCCCTCCTCCTCTCGTGCAATTTCCAACTCGCGATTTGCGCCTTCACTTCTGCCCTATCTATGATTTATCGATTTCTTTTCGGCTGCCGCGCTTCGCCTTTCTCTCCCTCGCGAAATCAATGGCTCGATTGTAATTACGCGTTGCGTTACTAAGAGAAACACTCCGCGGGTGTTGGAGTTTATAACACTCACCGCGTCGCGTCGAAGCCCACCGGTGTCTCGGTCGCCTCGATGTTGCTCTCTTGTTCAGCGTCGCCCCATGTTGCGCTTCAATTGATCCCACTGTAACGTGTAAGGTGACGTAATATAATTTCAGCGACATTTCGACGAGGCCAAAGGGGCGTACGAATTCATTTGATAAAGATACATGTCGGCGTAGCTGGAGTCGTTTTAACAATTGATTAGTCATTTGATAAGTGGAATAAGATCTCTCTTTCACGTTCGTTGCTACATCGCGACTGCATTTCGTGCGATTTATAACGGACGATAATAATCAGGATAAAATAATTTTCTCGAGCAGGTATAACTAGCTCTCGCAGCACCGCCGGCCCGCAGCGGCAATTGCGCAATAAACTGCGAACGTAGTTACGCATTTATTATTATTATCAGACTTTGTGCGCACAGAGTGTCTAGTAGCGGAATGTCGACGTTTACCTGTTTCTGACATCTGACGCATTGGCTCGGTTAAAATTCGAACCGCGGACGCTAATGCGGGGGGCCAAGCCGATGATGTATCACGGAGATAAGAGAGAACTCTCTCTCGGAGCGGGGAGATTCGTACGACGTGCCGGAGCGAACCCGGGGCTGGGAAATTAATAGCGCCGTATCGACACATCCAGTTATTTCTACTTCGAGTCTACTATAAATAGGCACATTCGCACGCGGCAAAGGCGGAATGCGCCGCTCGTGCATACGTACGTACGTGTCGACTTGATCATGGCGATTGCGATTCAGCATTTTTGCTGGCGTCGCTCGCGAGTGAAAGAGAGACGCCGAGGTAGGGAGAGAAAGAAAGAGAAAGAGAGGGAGGAAAAAAGAAACGGAGAGAAAGAGGAAGAGAGAGAGAGAGAAACAGGAGAATACGCGCCGTGCCTCATTCATTATACGTATTGACTGGCTGCAGACGTTGTTAAGACGCGCGAAAGATTCACGTTAGCGCTGCTCATACCTCGGCGAAGTATGCGCAGACGCATTTTATGATGATGAGCGCGCGGCGACCCGCGACGACATGTTTTACCGGCGTAATCGCGACTGCGCGTACCTCCTGCGTGGCCGTGCATACGTATCCTATTTTAACGCGCAACCTCGAGCGAACGAACGCGTCGCGATTGAAGGATCCGTTCGAGGCTGTTAATCCGCCCCCGACTGTTAATTGAGCTTGAGATCAAATCGAGTTCAAAGTACGAAGGATCGAAGCCAAAGTAACGTGTTGCATCGCACCTTGCGACATGTTTGCCGACACACAAGGAGACGTCTCGTTACGCGTGGACAATCACATCGACGAGGCGGTAAAATTGCCGCGGGGATACTGTGACGATAAGTTGAGCGATTCAAGCGGTTTCCGGAATAGGCACCTGTCAAATGCGCCATGGCGTCGGCGTTTACTTCTCGTCACGGTTCGGGCGCGCGTACCTCCAGCGACGAGAAAATGTCCGTCTCGAATCTGTCCATCAGCATTGGAACGTGCTTAAAGGACACGAGGAGGGTGCGACTCGGCTCGTTACGGGCCTGACAGCAAGATTCCAACGTCCCCTTGGCCGTCGGTTGCTTGGTCGACCTGGTTCGATTGACATTTTCGCGACGGCCGCTTATCGGATTGCTACTTTCAACTTGATTTCTTCCCGCTGAATCGTCTCTCTTTCTCTCTTTCTCAGCTCAGGGCGAACAGCGAGATGTAAGCAGACCGATACCGATCTCTCATTCAGCTGTTGAGCGCGATCAATGAGTCTCGCCGTTCGCATTCTACGTTGATTCGCGTTAACCGGATCTTCGTGTCGGACGAGGTGCGACGGGCATCTGACAGTCGCATTTAGCGACCGCTAAATGCGAGCCGGGAAACACGGTGTCGATGCCTCTCAACACCGCGCTGCTCGCTCTAAACACGTCTCTGCGCGAGTAATCGTAAGGTCGGTCAGCCTCTCACGCCACAGGGTCCTCCCTCCCCCCCTTGTCACGATTTTGCTATTCGCCCGATCGGAATAAGCTTTGACGTATGATTACCTTTCTCGCGTCAGGAAAAAAGCCCTTTTCACCATTTGATTAGCGGCGGGAGATTTGTACGCGAGCACGCCGCGCCGCGCCGCACTGCCGCCCCGAACGTATAATCAATACGTCAGTATCTGGCGAGTATTGCGAATTAAGGACAAGATCGAGAAGAGCGAGTACGTCCTCTGATTTTCGCACCCTCTGCAATAACGCTGTCGTGACTCTCATAAATTGCGCTCGAAATGTCTACGTTTCGTAAAAAAGAAAAGAAAAAAAAAGAGAGAAAATAAACGGGAGCTTCTGAGAGAGGTCTTTTTGTTATCTCCGCGCGGGAAGTATCCGTCGCGGAAAAATTTTAGCAGAGATGTGTCTCGATGACCCGGATATCGTCGAGAGTAAAAGGGGTGCAGAAGGGGAAACCACCTGAGGAGCCACCTGACGTTAATTAGCCGCAAGGGCCGTGAAAAAGCTTGCCTACCCAAGCGTCAACTCCTCTCTCTCTCTCTCTCTCTCTCTATCTATCTATCTATCTATCTATCTATCTCTCTCTTTCTCTTTTTCTCTGAAGGGGAGAGTTTCAGCGGTTTCGAAAAAACGCTACGGTATACACGAAGAGCTCCCACGGTACTACGATTCGCTGCTCCGCGTGTGCAAACGTGAACGCGAGTGAAATGACAGAGCCGAGTAACGAGCTATCTGTCTATCCATCTACCGCAGCGCAAACGTTTGTAGGCCCATCGATGTATGCCACGGTATTTTCGAGTGGCAACTTCCTGTCGAGTGTCAGCTGGATCCTGGGTCGCCTCGTCGTAGATCGACGATTACCACGATGATGATGGTGGGGTCGAGACACGACATACTTCGCTATTACTCGCTCCTTCCTGCCGTTCTCGAGACGTTACTCGGACGTTTCTACGGAGAGGTCCGTTCGATGCTCGCGCTTCACGCGCGCGTATTCCCATTCATATTCATAATTCGTCAGCAGCCGACGATTCGCGAGGGGGAGAGAGAGAGAGAGAGAGAGAGAGAGAGAGAGAGAGAGAGAGAGAGAGGGAGAGAGAGAGAGAGAGAGAGGAGACTTTCTTATTAGATAAATAACAACCTGTTGCACGATTCCGTAAGAAAGTGGCGGGAGCCGCACAAGCTGGCACCTGCAACGGCCGGAAGTGGCCGGAAGTTCGCTATATTTCTCACCTCGCCTTTTTCGTCAGCGACGCAGCTCGGCTCGGCTCGCGCGCTTAACCGTCTAAATAATTACTCACATAATTACCGGCGTATCTCCGGCGGGATAATTGAGCGAAAACTGACCGATCAATTTAGCCGTGAGACAGAGAGATATATATATATATATATATATCTCTCTCTCTCTCTCTGTCTCCGTCTCTTTCTCCCTGTGCTTTCTTACTGTGATTATTTTCCTCCACGGAGATTATTATCATCCCGCGGCTTGTCCGTACGTAGCGCTGGGTAAACATATCGTAAAGCATCGCCATGAGCTGCGCGAGAGCGTGCGCTGCGCGTTTTACCCCGAATAATGAGACGCGCCGTTACATCTGGGCCTTAGCGCCGCGTTAGGCTCATTGCGCGGCCGAAAGGCCGCAGTCGGCTTTACGTGGCCGAGCGCGATTAGTGTGGAGATGCGAGAACGCGAGGCGCGAGCGGCGTTTAACGCGATCGCGTAATTACACGGGGAATTTAAGACTGGTAGCGCGCACGAGAGAGCAAGAATGGGAAGCAGAGAGAGAGAGAGAGAGAGAGAGAGAAAGCACCTTTCGACAGGTAACACTATCGACTCGTTCATCCGCTCGAATCGATCATCGCCGCGTCGCCGCGGCGCGAAATATCGTCGGCGGGCGGCGGCGGAGCGCGTCGCGAACGGAGGCTGCGCGCCGTTGAGCAACCGAGGATAATTGCATCGGCTAATAAATTAATCCGAGACCACCTCCCGCGCGCGCGCGCGCGCGCGCACGCCTACGAGAAGGAGACGCGTGGTATCGCCCAAGTCGCTAATAAGCCTCTTGCGCCATTCCGTGCGATTGTCTAGGTCAAGGCGTTCGCTTTTAGTTACACCCAAGTGAAGCAACGCGTACGTCTCTCTCGTTCTCTCTCTCTCTCTCTCTCTCTCGCGATCGTTCACACAACGCGGAGAGACCGCGGATGCAGCCCGTGCATGCGTCGTGCGGACAAAAGCGAGTTCCAGCGAGTCATCGCGAGTCGTGGTGAATCGGTAATTGTAACTTTATGCTTATCGGCAAATGTAAATCAACGTGGATCGGAAAATATCGGAGTGAGTGCAGATGTTTGATCAAGGCGCTGACGATGCAATTTGCCGCGATGCCTCGTATTAATCACGTTTCAGGGAGCGAACGCGGGCGCCGCGTTAACTACGCTGACACACATGTGCGACATCCAGCGGGCCGGGGGTGTCAAATTTTAATGTATACTACCCGAATCTCATTTCGAAGCGCGAGCGGAGAGAGATCCTCTGCGCTCTTTGCTCCCCTTAAACCGCGCGTGGATAATAGATGCAGAGCCAGCCCCTTTTGACTTGCCCGGCAGCTGCGGCGGTTCTGTCGCGCGCTCTCGAGGGGTGGTGGCTCCGCGTATGTACATACACGCAACTTTCCTTTTCATCACGAGAGCGCACGCATTGTAGCGCAGGAAGCGCGATCGCAGACCGAATTAGCGGACGTGCGCGCAGGCCGTGAACGCAGGCCGAGAGCGCGCAGCCGCAAATCGGGGAAAAGCGCGCGGGGAAAAGGACGCCCGTGAAAACGTCGGAAGAGTTAACCCCGCGAGCACCGGCTCGCGAAATGAAGATGCGAGCGGAGGGATCCCGGGAATCCGGCCAATCGGCCGCATAATGATGCGGCAGGGAAACGAGTGGAAAATTATAGTGCCGGGGAGGCCCGCGCTCGCGCGCGTCGTGCAACGAACGTGGCATTCTGGCCGCGAAAGGGAAAGGCTTCGTTATCGAGGCGCATCGTGCAAAACTGCAGAATTTTAGCGACGCGATACGACGCCGCCGCCGCCGCCGCCGACAACGACGACGACGACGATACACGGCATTTACCTTT